CCTCAGTTTCCCAAGCACGTAAGATGAGATTTAATGTTGACTGGTCTCAGTCTCTATAAAGCTCTTAGGATTGTGTGGATTAGGTAGGGATGTGATAGGGCTTTGTATTTTAAGGCCTAAAATTTCATTTACTTTATCAAGGGTCCAAAGGCCTAACCATGAGTTCTCCTGCTCTCACCAGAAATACCTGCCACCCAGCAGAAAAGACTCCCTACTGGCTAGATCCCCTATATGCCAGACCAGCTAATCCCCTCCTAGTCCTTAACGTAATGGGTACCCCACCACCACCACCGCTGCCTGCAGAGTTTTGCAAACAAGCCAATCACACCTGTGGGAACCAGGGAATACCTCACCTTTTTCCTACAAAGCCTGCCTCCCACAGACCCTGCTTGTTCAATGTATTCCTGAGTGCAACCCTTGTGCGGCCCTGCATGACATGGGGTGTCCTCCACCCCTGGACTGTGAGTACATGTAACTAATAAACTAGTGGCGATCTCATCTGTGTGGTGTCGGGTATCCAGCCATCTCATGCTACCGAGGGTGAAGGGTCCCTCTCTCTCCAGTGGATGAATAGGAGACAATCAGAACAGGACTGCAATAGAGTGACCAAGCATTCTCTCGGGGAAACCCTGAGAGACAAGTACCAGGAGCATGTCCACTGTGTAGCTGTACAGGTGTGCTGGTCCAGAGTGGGGTATCTCAGCCTCGAAACTGTTACTATTTCGAGCCGGAGAATCTTTTGCTGTAGAGTGCTATCCTCTGTGTTGCCAGCTGTCTGAAGGTGTGCCTGGCCTCCACCAGTTAGACGCCCGTAACACCGACACCCTCCTCCCCGAGTTGTGACAGTCAGAATTGTCTTCAGACACTGCCATCTGTCTTCGGGGGAGTAAAATTAGTCCTCATTGAAAACCACTGGTCCAGACTGATGTCTTCACGATTCGGTAGCCCCTGACTCAGGACTGGGGAAAGGTGTTTATTGAGGGATGATGGTTGATAAAAGAGTAAGAGGGTCATCCAGATGCATAAGTAAGTGTTAGATAACGTAGACGGTGAGAGCCGAGGATGACTTTTGAGATTATATTGAAATAAAACATCTAAATAGAAAAAAAGAGATTGAAATTATTTAAAATGTGGACTGTCGTGGAGCCAATTTTAGAAAGTTTGCTAAAGAATTGGTCATAACAGGGAAAACATTTATAATAAAATCTGATTTTATGATGGACTTGAGTCTGTTTTCTTAGAGATTTTATAGTACATCCAGGATAAATTTTTATCAGTATTTTTTCCTGCGCATTAAAGAAAAAAGATAGAAGACCTCAGATTTCTTAAGAATTTTTGGCGTCAACACAGCTTGAAGAAATCTATGTACCATTTCATTTAATTGGAATTTTTTTCAGTTATTATTATATTCATTTCCAGATATGTGTGGGTAAAAATTTTATCTGCAGCCTCAGGACTATTCAAGACATGTAGCGCTCTGCTTCAGTGACACTGATTTTTTTTTACTATTTCCTATGCATGTCGTAAGTTTTCAGCCCTACCCTCTTCGCTGCCATGTGGCCCCCTCTCTGCAATGCAATCCTCGATCGCCTTTCTTTCTATTTAAAAAGTATTTCGTTTATTTTCACAAGAAATAAATTAAGGGGTTTTTTTCTTTTATTTTTAGGGTTCAGTGACATTCAGGGACGTGGCCATAGACTTCTCACAGGAAGAATGGGAATTCCTGGACTCAGCTCAGAGGGACTTATATAGGGATGTGATGTGGGAGAATTATAGCAACTTCATTTCACTAGGTAAGGCTATTTATCCCAAATTACATTGGCCTTCTCTACTGTCAATTTAGGACAGTGTTTTGAGAAACTAGATAAATTCTGTCTCTCTGTTCCAATGGAATGGTTTAAGCTTCGTTAGGTTAGAAATAGGTCCCTCCGTTTAGCATGCCATCACTCCCATCCTGCTAGGTCCTTCATACTTTTCAGGCTGTGTAATTTTCTCATTTCATTAATATCCAGGGGGCTGTATTTGAAGTCTAGGTTGCTTACAACAGAAGCATCATTCAAGAAACCAGATTTCACATTGTATTTGACCTCAGAAGTGATGTAGGTGCTTAACACACCTTTCTAATCTACCTTCATAGAGAGTTCTAGTCACAAGGGTTCCGAGTCTCTAAAAATGGGAGCCTACAGAACTTACATGATATGACATGGATCCGCAAAGTGCACGTAAAACTCAGTTAAATGTTTAAATGTATTGTTTCCTAAAACAGACATATTCACTTCTACCTACTTTGCGACTGAAGGTTAAAATTTAAGAATGTTTCCTTGTAACATCGAATGAATATTCTAGAAAGGATATGAGAATGTCACAGAAAGCAAAATTATAATAATAACAGCTCATACTTCATAAACACATTATGTGTATAAATACATATATAACTATGTATATTTGTGCTTAGGCCCTATTCTGAGCATTATGAGAATTAATCCTCACAACTCTGTGAGGAATACACTATTACTATCCTCACTTCAGATGAGAAAACTTAGGCACAATAGGTTAATAATTTGCCAACGGAACACAGCAGCAAAGGCAGTATTTGAACCCAGGCAGTCGGATCCAGATTTTGTTTTCTCAACTACTACACAAGAGTGTCTCTCAATAGAGCATGTATGAGTTTAAATTATATTAAGGGCTTTTCTTGACTATTTAGTGTCTATTTCTTATGGTCCTGAGGTCGCCATAGTATGAGTGTTCTTCAACTCCTTTGCATTTCCTTGCTCTTAGGCTTTATAAAATACCATTTTGGTCTGTAATTAATTGTAAATCTAACCGAATCTGAATCTAAGGACTTTTGGGCTTCTAATTTCATGTCACATTTTTCTTTTAAGCAGGACCGTCCATTTCTAAACCAGACGTGGTAAAAAAAAAGAAAGAGCCCGATGGTTGTAAGAGAAGGGATAAGCAGACACTACCCTGGTGAGTGAGGGCTTAGCAGGCGTGGGGAAGTCATTAAGGTCATAGCTAAGCTGGTTAGGGTAAAGGCACACCCTTTAGATGTCCTTGGGGATGTCTCTTCAAAAGCCCATGGTCCGTGGAGAAAAGGCCTGGGACTTGGGATGCAAATTAAAATCTTTTAAGCCTGGACTAGCAAAGGAACTTTCTGTTGACCTTGGTGACAGCTCTCTGTTTCTCATGTCTCATGTTTTCTCTCCCGCTTCAAAAAGAGAGGAGCTGTTCTCAGTAGAAGGGAAAAAATGATAAATATAAAAGCTGAAATCAACAGAAGTGAAAAATAAAAGAAGTAGAGAAAATTAATAAAGCCAAGAGTTAATTTCTTGAAAAGATCAACCAAGTCGGTAAACACCTAACTTGATTAATCAAGAGGAAAAGACAAATTACTGTCAGGAGTAGAAGAGGGGTTTTCAGTTCATATCCTATAACCATTAAAAGAATAATAAGAAAATGCTACGAGTAACTTTATGCTTGTAAATTTGACAAATTTAAAAATTCCTTGAAAAATACAACTTACCAGAACTGACACAAGAGAAAGAAAATATGGATTAACCTTGTATCTATTAAAGAAATTGAATTTATTATCAGAAATCTTTCCACAAAGTAAACATCAGGCCCGGATCATTTCATTGTGTATTCCATTTACTATTTAAGGAAGAAGTAAGAGCAGTGTTACACACATTTCTGTAGAAAAAGAAAGAACGTTTTCCAACTCATTTTATGAGACCGCGTACCCCTTATACCGTGATCTGACAAAGATACTACAAAAAAACCCCCCAAAACTCCAAAACCACAGACTCATCATTTATGAACACAGATATACAATTTTTAACAAAATATTTGCAAACCAAATTCAGTATTAAAAATGATCAAGTAGGGTTTATTCCAGTAATGCAAGCTTGGTTTAACATTCAAAAATAATGAGTGGAATTCTCTCTCCCTCTTTTAAGGCCACCAATACTATCTAATTACTAGTCCATCCTTATGACTTTATTTAACTTAAATTACATCTTTATAGCTTCTGTTTTTTTATTTATGTCTTTCATTATCTAAAAATGTATTCATTAATTTAGTCAGCAAATACTTCAGTGTCCAATTTGAACCAGATACTGTGCTATAGACACCAGCGGAACAATTGCGAACAAGAATGATAAGTCCCAGAAGTCATGTTGCTTACATTTTAATAGGATTAAGGAACCTGAGTAAATAAGTAAATAGATAAATAATATTAGGAAGTGACAAGTATTATTAAGGAAAGTGAGAATATAATAATGATATATGTCAGTTAATATGTCAACATAAAATGTATTATATGTCAACAACCTGATATTTAATAAAAGGCTCATTAAAACAACATTAAATCAGCATCGTATACATGGATGTGAAGTTGAAAATTCATCGTTGCAATAAAGATACTAAGCTTCATCAAAGAAAAAGACAAGCAAACAAATTGGCAGGTGTAAACGGGTTTGTTTTCAGGTGGTCAGGGCTTTTGAGGAGTTGATATTAGAGCGGAGACAGGCGAAAAGAGTTCAGGCCATGAGACTATCTAAAGCAAGATAATCCTGATAGAACAGCAAAGGCAGAGGCCTTGGGTGGAGGCAGAAGTTTGTATGTTGAGGAATAGCAAGAAGGCCAGGATGATTAGAATGATTATTCCAAAGGTAAGTGAAAAACAGAATAATGAGATGAAGTCAGAAAGCTTAGCTGACTGTACATTATGGGGGAAGGCGTGCGACTTTAAGTGCGGTAGACAGCTATTGGAGATTTTTGAGAAGAGAAGTGACATGAGTTGATTTGTCTTGTAATTATCCGTCTGGAGAACAGAGTGAATAGGCACAAGATGGGCAGTAGGAAGACCAAGTAGGAGCCTGTTTCATTTGTGCCAGTGGAAGATGATGGTGGTTTTGAATAGGATGGTGGTGGTTGGAGGTAGGGAGGTGTCAGCACTGTGCCGGAGGCACATGGAACAGCTCACTTTTTGCCAGATTTCTTAATCCCACCTGGAGCCAGAGGGCCCTTCCTCACCAGCGTTTGCTTTTATGATTTAGTTTTGTTTTTCTTTCTTTCCAGGTCTCTCTTTGGTTTATTATTATTATTATTATTTTTGGTTTATTCTGTATTGCATTCCACAAGCAAGGCTCATAGTTCCTAATGAAATTTACATGCTAATTTACTTTATTCAGATACACAGGCACACACATGTTTAAATTTAGAATAACAACACCAATATTGTTACCACCAGTATGTTTACTGAAAAATTTAAATACTTTTGTTCAGGTTTTTTTTTTTTATCAATATATTATTTTAATTATCGAAGTTTTTTTGGTATGCTTTTAATAACTTGGGGTATTCCTTTTCATTCCTCTCTTCAGGTTTTTAAAAATTATTCTTGGTTGTTTATTTTTCCAATATTATTTTAATTATTGAATATATTATATTAATTATTGGTATGCTTTTAATAACTTGGGGTATTCTTTTTGGTATGCTTTTAATAACTTGGGGTATTCCTTTTCATTCCTCTCTTCAGGTTTTTAAAAATTATTCTTGGTTGTTTATTTTTCCATATGGATTTTTGAATCGTGTCTAATTCTAGAGCAAATAAGTCCATTGGTATTTTTTATTTAGATTGCATTATTTTTGTTCTACCTCTCTGTATAATATGCATCTGTTGGATCTTACAGCAAGATTGCATTTCTGAGGGGCATTAAAGAAAACAATTAGACTAGCATATTCTGATAAAAGACTAATTTTGTAGTTCTAGAGGAAAAGAAATTATGTTCTTCCTCCTTCAGTAGAATTTTCTACTGAGAGACAATCCTAGAATGTTGATAAAAAATGTAAGCCAGCTTATGGTTACCCTTCTTATGCATTTGGACTTCCTTAGGGAGGAACCACGTCATGGTTTTTCCTATGAAAGTTGGTTAACCCAAAGCAGGGGCAGCACTTCCTCTGGTGTAGGGGGAGTGTCTCTAAATGTTACAGTGCAGGTAGAGTCATATCCTCATCTCTTTCGTTGTCCTGCTGAGATGTCCTCCAGAGCTTTCTGTATTATGAGGTCACCTGGTGTTATACAAATAAATAGACTGGATGGTCTCCTGAAAGCTGACGTGGATTTAGGGCATCATCTACTCAGTCTTATCAGTGGTAGCTGTGTACATTTGTGAAAATCTCAAGCAAAAATTGCCCTAATCGTTTAAGACACACACTTAAAAAGCCATTTTTACAAATATATTTAAAACGTAGTGCTGATCCTTAATTCAAATCACTCTAGTATTATTATATTGCGTCAGGTAATCTGCAGGCTTTTTCTGGTCTAGGTGATAATCTAGTGACTAAAGAAAGCTATTACAAATTAATACAGGCAGAGAGAAAAACTGCTTTGAGTTCATTATTAACTATTTCCAAACAAGAAAAAAGAAGTAAAATATGGGTGACTCAGGGGAAAAGACACTTCACTTTTTTTTTTTGTAAATATACTTCATGTTTACAACAGTTTTAGGTTCACAGCAAAATTGAGCAGGAGGTACAGAGAATTTCCACACACTCCGTGAGGATGGCATTATTTTTATTAGTGGGAAGCAAAATCTTGTGTGTTTATATTTTTTTACTTTTTCAGGTAGTTTATTGATGATTATGTAATTTGCATACATCAAAATCCACTCCAGTTTAGTGTCCAGTTTTAGGAATTTTAGCAAATGCATACACTTGTGTAACTGGCACCACAGTCAAGTTTTAGAACAGTTCTGAAGCTTCCTTATGTGCCCGATGTTTCTTCACTAAGTTAAATGTAGATTTTGGGCTAAGAAATATGTTTTTTATCATGTTAAGCAAGTAACCATATATTCCTGTTATTTCGAGTGCTTTTTTAAAAATAAGGAATGAGTGCGATTTGAATTAAGATGCCTTTCCATTGTCCGTGGAAATAATCATATGAATTTTACCCTTAGAGTAATGAGTATGATGAATTATTTTGGTAGATTTTTCTAATATTAAAGTGCCTTTGCTTTCCTAGAATAAGCCACATTTAATTATATTTTCTTTCCATGTGCTCAAGGAGTTTTTGCATGAATTTTCATAAGTGATATTGACATATAATTTTCCTTTACTATGGTTTTTTTTTTCCATCGAGGTATAATTGTTCCTTTACTGGACTTTTATTCCTTTTTAAACTCATTTAAAAATAACTTGGAATTTTTTCTTTTTTAAATGTTCTGGGTCACTTTCAATATGATTGGACTATGTGCTTTCTAAAGTTTTGATAATCTTCAAAATAATTTTTGAAGTAGGTTTTTGACTGTTTTCTCTATATTAGAAAATTACCCTTTTTGGCATAGTAGTTTCTTATGATTTTCAAAATGCTGTTTTATTAATTACTCGTTAGTGTCAAGAACTGTGAAGGATCTGCAGTTTTACTTTACTTGCAAGCTTAACAAGTTAGCCTGCCACAGTGTCATGGATGCTGGCAGAAGACACAGGACTCCTAAGCCAAAAACAGGATTCCGTTGCTCACAGCCCAACAGGCAGCGTGAGCATCAGCATATTTGCATCATTTCTTTGCACCCAAATTCCATGGGGGTGCCATGGATGGGTGTAGATAGATACCTGAACAGGCTGTGAGCTTTGTTACAGGAGAGGAACCCTGAGCCTCTTTAGAGAACCCGACCTTTTCTTTGAGGGAGATAGTAACCTTTATTATGTGGAACAGTTAGCAAACCTGCCTGTTGAGATACTCTCTCTCCCTTTCTAGACTGTTTGTTACACAAACATTCTTGAAAAGAGCCCACAACAAAGGTCGTCAAAAGATGTGCAAAAATGTGAGACCCCTGATTAGTTGTCTCTGAGTGCATAGTTGCTGTTTTTTATTTTGTTTGAATACTTTCCTTTTTATCTTTGTTATCTTAACTAATGGCTAATATTTCATTAATTTTTTTAAAAAACAACCTGGGTTTGTGGATTAATTTTTTTTCTGTTATCTAATTAAATTCTGCTTTTATTTTCATTTTTTCCCTTTTTCTAGGTTACTCAGTACATTTTGTTCTGTTTCTAACTTGAGTGGAGTACTCATATATTTTCATTTCTATTACACTAAGAATTTAAATGTATCAATGAATTTTCTATGATCTGTAGCTCTATTTCGTAGTTTCTAGAAATGTGGTGTTTTCAATATTCTCTAGAAATTCTACAGCTTCAGTAGAGAGTTTTTAAAATTCGAAGCGAAGATGTCTCTTGGTTTTATTACTTCTCATTCTTTGACACTTTTATACATTTATACATTGAACTTGCAGAAAAAAAACTTCCCATCTCTTCTGTCCCGTCTCCTTCCATCTCTTTGCTCACCTCATTCCACATTTCGATTTTCTTCATGTAAGTCCCCCAGCCGAATTACTATCTTAGAGCGCATATCCAGCATAGCTTTTGTTTTTACTCTCTTGCACTCAAGTGATTCGAAGCCCCCTTCCATATTTGGTAGTTATTCTGATATACTCAATATTTACCGTTGCATTTTGCTCAGGACTTCATAAGCCTGTCAATATTAGCATGACTGAAAAATATTTGAGATTTTCTGGGAAATACAAAAGTTGCTTTGGATATGCAGAGTGGAAAGGAGTACCTAGGACAGATATGAAGGAACAAAGTTTGAGTAAATGTAGGATTGATGAGTAGTAGTATAAACTCTACTGGAGATGTCATTACAGTGCAGTGTCAAAGGTTAGAGACAGATGTACATATTAACGATTACATAATAATGGGAGTTAAATGAGTAACATCTATGATGTATTTGGGGTTCATTAATGGTAAATGAATTTAGAGAGTGTTTCTGCTACTGGGAAACTAACAAATGAGAATAACAAATGAGAAAATTAATAAATTCATTATTCCAAAATTGGGGAGGGTGGTACAAAGAAGAGCAGTAGATTGCTGGGATAGAGCATAAAGTGCATAGACTTAAATATGATCAGCAGGACTAGCTTTATGAAGATGTGACTTTTTAAAAATAAATTTACTTATTTAAATTAGTTTCAAGTATACGGTACATTGGTTAGACACCTATATTATTCATAAAACGATTCCCCCCAGTGCTCCCCCCTTCCCTGGCCCTCCACTTAGCCATCATATTAATGCTAACTGCATTCCCTGTGGTGTGCTCCCCATCCCCGTATCCAACTATCAACTACTAATTTGTATGAAGATGTGATTTTTGATTTGAGATCTGAGGGATGAAAAGAAGCCAACCATACAAAGTCAGAGGATTTCTCAAAGAAGGAGCAACCTGTGAACAGTTGTATTCAGTGGGAACAGTTGTAGCGCACTCAGTGCTGAAAAGAGGCCTTTGTGGCATGAACAGAGAGAGTAAATGGGACAGGAGCTGATCACCAGAAGCCTTATTATCCCTGCTCAGGTATTTATATTTTATTCTCATCGTGAAGAGAAATCATTGAAAATATTTAAATAGAGAGACTCAAACATTGATCAGCCTCAGAATTATTTGTCGGAGAATATAATTAAGAACAAAATAAAAACCCTAGTCTTGTAGCTTTTGTTTCAGTCGGTTAAAAATACCTCTGTATAGTTTTAACAGATCTTCAGGGGATTCTTATCCACATCTAAATCAGGCCTCCATCGCTATAACTTGTTTCCCCAATCACCAGGCTCACCTCCTTCCCTGGACTTTCCTTATTCTGTTTCCTTTTCCTTTTTTTGAAATGTTCGAGACTAAAGTCTGGTCCATAATATAATTAATAATCCAGAATACAAATTAGCTTAATAGTGATGCAAAATAGGGAATGATAGATCTCAGTATTGTGGAAGTTAGTTGGTTCACTACTAACTAGCAGAAATGCCACTTTTCGTACTTGAATGAAGCCAGAATAGTAGTGGGTTTATACCATTCAACAGTCAAGGCAAAAACCTTCAGTTTGATGCTTTGTTAGGAGCCCTGCCTCCCCTACATTACGAAATAAATGCCTGCACCCAGGGATCCCTCCCAGAGATGTATACAGTCAACCTTGCATGGCTCCTGGCCAAAGACACATAGCACTTCACCTGATTCCCACTTTAGTGGTAGCCCCACTGGCTCAGGGCTTTATTTTCATGTGCAGTGTCTCAGTGCCTGAAATCCAGCATTTCTACTTCATGTTTGTGCATTTAATATCCACGAAATGGCCTTCAGCCAGGCTTAAGGTGCTTTTTGGGTTCCCTTGAGATACCAATTACTATATTTGTTAGTGCTCTGCTAATGAAGTTGCATAGATTTGAGTGGTCTTCTCCAGCCCTGTTTTCTTCATAAATCCTAATTTTCGGTGTGTAATTTTGCAGGAGATAGATTTTTTTGTTTTGTTTTGTTTTAGGTACACATATGTGGTATTGTAGCAGAAATGCTTGTGTTCTAGAGATATCCGATTCATTCACTCGTAACAGGCATTCTTTTCAGTGCCTTTTATTTCTCTATAGACGTTTTCTTTCTTCTGGAACAGGAAAATGGCATGTGTTTGCTTTCTTGTTTTCTTTCAGATTTGGAGTCCAGATACAGGATCAATACTTTCTCTCCAGAAAAGGATATTTATGAAATATATTCATTCCACTGGGAGGTAATGGAAAGAATTAAAAGCTATAGCCTTCAGGACTCCATTTTTACAAACGATTGGCAATGCAAAAGCAAGATTGAGGGGCCAAAGGAACCACAAGAGGGATATTTTGGGCAAGTGAAAATTACTTCCGAAAAAATGACCTCTTACAAAAAGCATAATTTTCTTGCTGAATATCAGAGAATTCACAATGGAGAAAAGTTATATGAATGTAAGGAATGTAGGAAGACCTTCATTCGTCGCTCCACACTTAGTCAGCACCTGAGAATTCATACTGGTGAGAAACCTTACAAATGTAAGGAATGTGGGCAGGCTTTTAGACAGCGCGCGCACCTTATTCGACATCACAAACTTCATACTGGTGAGAAACCCTATGAGTGTAAGGAATGTGGGAAGGCTTTTACAGTGCTCCAGGAGCTTACTCAACATCAGAGACTTCATACTGGCGAGAAGCCCTATGAATGTAAGGAATGTGGGAAGGCCTTTCGAGTACATCAGCAACTTGCTCGCCATCAGAGAATTCACACTGGTGAGAAACCCTACGAATGTAAGGCATGTGGGAAGACCTTTAGGCAGTGTACACACCTTACTCGACATCAGAGACTTCATACTGCTGAGAAGCTCTACGAATGTAAGGAATGTGGGAAAGCCTTCGTATGTAGTCCAGATCTTAGGGTACATCAGAAAATTCATTTTGGTGAGAAGCCCTATGAATGTAAGGAGTGCGGAAAGGCTTTTAGAATATGCCAGCAACTTACTGTCCATCAAAGTATTCACACTGGTGAGAAACCCTATGAATGTAAGGAATGTGGGAAGGCCTTTCGGTTAAGACAGCAACTTGTTCGCCATCAGAGAATTCATACGCGTGAGAAGCCCTACGAATGCATGGAGTGTTGGAAGACCTTCAGTAGTTACTCACAACTTATTTCACATCAGAGCATTCATATTGGCGAGAGACCTTATGAATGTGAAGAATGCGGGAAGGCCTTCAGACTGCTCTCGCAACTGACTCAGCATCAGAGCATTCACACTGGTGAGAAGCCTTACGAATGTAAGGAATGTAGAAAGCCTTTTAGACTCCTCTCCCAGCTGACTCAGCATCAGAGTATTCATACTGGCGAGAAACCTTATGGATGTAAGGAATGCGGTAAGGCTTTCAGACTTTATTCATTTCTCACTCAACACCAGAGGATTCACACAGGTGAGAAACCCTACAAATGCAAGGAATGTAAGAAGGCCTTTAGACAGCATTCACACCTTACTCAACATCAGAAAATTCATAATGGAATTTAATACAAGAAAGCTTTCGAATTTATAGCATGGTACAGAACATCAGAAAGTTAACTTTTGAGAAAAGTTGTTTCATGCTCACATCTAAGCGTAAGAAATTGTACGTTACAGAAAAAAGCGCTTTGAAAGCCATCCTTCACCATTCAAACATTGTTTATCTTAAGCAAATTTATGTGAGAGAATAATAACGAATGTAGGAAAATTTTTAGCTTTATCGTTTCCATTTCACTCTTACTAGTGTGTTACTAGACAAGGTACTTAAACTTCTGTGCCTCATTTTGCTCACTTGTAAAATAGCGATAACAGTACCCGTGTATGTTATTTATTGGTCTGTAATAAGTTATCACAGCTTAATAGCTTAAAATAATACACACTTATTATCTTGCAATTTCTATAGGTCAGGAGTCTTGGCAAACTTAGTTGGGTTTTCTGCTTCAGGGTCTCAAGGCTAAAATTAAGGTTTTTGCTGGGGCCGAGTCTCAACTAAAGCCTCTGCTGGGGAAGGGATCCACTTCCAACCTCACGTGGCTTTTGGCTGAATGCATTTTCCTGAGGACTATTGCACTGAGGTCCTCGGTTTCTGACTGACTGCGGGCTGAAGGTTGACCTTCAGTTCCTTGCCACATGGGCCTCTTCAGCATGGCTGCTTACTTCATCAAAGCATGCAAGCCAAGAAGGCAGTAAGAGTCTGCCAGCATCATAGAAGTTGTAATCTTGCCTAGTCTAATCACTGAAGTGATATTTCATCACTTTTGCTGTCTTCTGCTGTCTAGAAGCCAATTACTAGGTTGCCCCACACTCAAGGGAAGAGGATTACACAAGAGTCTGAATACCAGGAGGCCGGGACCATTGGGGCCAATTCAGAGTCAGCCTGCCACACTGTAATAGATTTGTAAGGATTAAGTAGTTGATAACTTGGAAAAATAGCAGCCACATAGCATGTTTTTTGTAAATATGTGTAATTGTTGTCATCACTAGTATCAGTGAAGTCATACAATAGGGATGTTCCATAGACAGACAATGTAGAAAAGCCTCCCGTCGGGCTGCTCAGCACTTAGTGAATTTAAGATAATTTATTCTGGATAAAATCTAGGAGGTTGTATCGAATGTGAGAAGTTCTCCATCACGTAAACCGCATCAGAAATTTCATGCTGAAAACCTTATGAATTTCATGAATATGAGGTTATTAAGAGTACTTAAGAATCAAAGAGAAACGTGACATTATTTTCCCATAATAAAGTCCCAAAAGTAAATGTTTTATAATCCCTATTGTCTGAGTACCATCCAAGATCAATTAGAAACTATCAAAGAGATGGCGAAAAGGAAACTAACCACTTGGAAATTTAATAATGTCTGTGCATGTTCATGTGTGTGTATTTGTGTATAAAACTCCTGTATAAAAGAAAACATCATTTTATTAAAGATTGTACTTTATCTTGTTCACATTGCTCCGTCAGCCAGTGGAAATTGGGTCTTTACGTGACCCCACTAGTAGTTATACAGTTTCTTGGTTGTGGCTGTACAGTTTGGTCAGCTATTGATGATGCTTGGGTACCAGCTTATTCTGATAAGTAAGTGGGGGAATCATTTATTTTGCTTTTCCCATGTGAACCAAGTTTTATGGCCACCAAAAGCTCATCAGAGTGGCTTTTAAATCTAACGAGTAAATAGATTGATAGGGTTAGGAAAATCACAATTTTCTAGTTTCCTACTGGAATAATGGGTCAAGAAAAATGATCTTCAACGGATATTAAAACTATTACGTGAAAGATTTTATAGTGAGAACATTACAGTGGATTTATCAAGCTGAACACTTCTGAGCCCTGTGATCAATTTTAACCTCTATAAAAGGAGACTGTTAGACAGTATGTACCACCTGATATAATGCAGTATAACACACCGCTACTTACAGAGCCTTATTGCCAGAATTATGAACTGAAGGAATGAAACACATAAGTCCGATTCTTTGAACCAAGAATTTGGAGAATAGATGAACAAAGCAATGGCACCACAAGGAAGCAGCCAAGCAGATCCAGATGTGCAAAATTCTACAAAACAACATGCTTTCCCCAACCAAGTGGCGTGAAAAAGAAAAGAAAGGCACTGTTAACAGATTAAAAGAGACGTAAGAGGCATATCAACTAAATTCAATGTGTGGGCATTACCTAGTTTGAACAAAATGTAAAAAGACATTTTGGAGACGATGGAGGAAAGGTGGACATGCACTGAGTATTAGATGATATTTAGAAATAATAATTTTGTTAGGGATGATAATATCAATGTGATTATTAAGAAATAAGAGCTCCCGTGTGTTAGAGATACATGCTTACATGTTTATGAAATGACAGAATATCCAAATTTAAAAAAAGAATTGGCAAAGTGAACTGGAAAAGAAATTGGCAAAATGTTGATAATTATGGAAGTGGAGTGGTTTGTATGTATGTGGGGGTTCACTGTTCTAATATTTCTACTTTCCTGTGTGTTTGAAAGTTTCAATAAAATGTTTAAAATCAAAACAAATTATAGACTGCTTAGAAATTATTCGTAATGAGATGCCTGCGTATCTAAACTTGTCAGCTATCACTAAAGTTCTGTTCAGTGAGAAGCGAATGCCCTTTAATGTGTTAAGGAAACTTTGTGGGCCCAGTCTTCGTCATCTTTAGTCACAGCAAGCAACTCTGAGTCTGTCACAAAGCTAAATGTAATGCTTATCGATTTAAAGTAAATATATAGTTTTTGTTACATATAAGTATTTCAGTCCCTGTTTTATTTAATGCCTGCCAGATTTTGTCGGAAGATGTCTTATCTGTTGGTGTAAAGGTTTTTCTCTCTTAATTTTTTGATATAATGAATTATATAAATTTCTTGACAAATTCAGGTTCCACACCCACTCTTAGGTTCAGTAATTCAGCAGTTCCGTGGAATCATCGTTGGGCCTGTTGGTGAAAGCATTCCTCCATTTGGACTCATTTGGCAGGGCACAGGCTGCGGATGGACTGGGC